ATCAAGTTTAAGCTATTATTTCTTGTTCCGGCATTTAATGGCAGGCACGTATTTTCTGAATGCGTTCTCATAACTGAAGAAGTCAGGCAACTAATTATTCAGTTGAATCACCAAGCTTCACTTATGTTACAGCTCATCTATAATTGTCAAATTCAAATTTTGAGGTTAATTTCTAGAGGTATAGAACTTATAGAGAGCATCAAGAGCTACTATCAGAAACAAGTAGGCCGTTCACACTGGCAATTTGAATCAACCCGAACTTGAATCAGGGCCCTAATTGGCCAAGTGTGGACAACCAAAAATGAGCCGAGATCGATTCGAAATCGATCTAGTAAATCTACATTATAGACGGTCTTGAAAGGTGGTCTCGGATCGGTTCACGATTTACAACCGAGTTACTTTCTTGCTAATTACCAGCCTGGCATTCATTAATTTCATTAAAGTTTTTTGTGCAAGTGTGGACACTTGATCTACTGCAAGAAGTCCCAAGGAACCTGCCTCGAGTCGCCATCGATTTGAGATCGTTGGCGTTCCAATTTAGATCGATCTGAAAGTGTGCTAAGTGTGAACGCCCCCCTGTAGATTGCTACTTTAAAATTAATAATTCTTAGACAAATGTACCGAGTGCTCATTCAAACGGACGCATGCTTCTCTTATTTTACTCGCGTTGTCAAAGAATCACGGGAAATGATTTGGCATTGACTCTGAGATTAACTAATTCAATTAGCAAATTTAAACTTGACCTTATAACAAATAAGTCTCATTTACCTATACTATTGAATATATAGCTTTTGACGTATTTTACAATACATAATTTTAGCTTTTTTAACGTCTTAATCAACTGTTTACCTACTATACACATTGTATATAACTTATTGGCAAATATTCCATGCATCACGTATTATAGACTGCATTAGTGAAGTCAACCTTGTATATTGAGGGAATATTTTCCTGTTTGAGGTAATAAAGTAAATATCTGAGATATTGAATGAATTAAATGTTGAATTTTCTCATTTCTATCGCAGGTAATGAAGATACTTCGCCAGCTTGAAAGAGAAAAAGCAGAATTGAAACAAATTATTGGAAACATGAATGAAACATTGAATAATTTGTTGAGCTTTGGTAAAGGTGTGTATGTCTCACTTCATTCTTTAAATTGGAACTTCAGTTTACATGCAGTATAATATTGTAAAATTCTCAATGTGTACGCGATGAAAAACGAAAGTATTCGTAGTAATGCTCGTTATAAATAATTATTTGCTGCTGGTTAATTTTGGAAACATATCGGTTAAAACATTTATATAAAATCACAAAAATGACATCATTCTTTGACGTTGACTGGGCAATCCCCAGGGACTGTTGGAACTTTATATTTTAGATACACTGTGTTTTACAGACGCTGGCAAACTAAGGTGAATCCAAATCAAAGAAAGAATACCTTGTTATATACATTGACTAGATAGATGTTATGCACGGAATGACGTTCTGCTTTTATCACGCTGCATATTCTAATTATACTAATTTCTCATTTACTTTCGATCCATAATTCCATAAACCCAGATCTTCATTTGTATGTTTAAAAACTTCATTATAGTAGTCAGTAGAGATATCCGTACAAGAGATGTGTGAAATAAAGATCGTATTCCCACCGACAACGATACTGTATTTTTCAGGACAATGTCATGTGAAATTTATCGTATTTTCAGGGTTTTGGTGGCTATTTATATATAGGGTTTCTGTAATTCTGTCGTCGCAATGTTGTCAGTTTAGGGCTCTCGCTAATAATATAGTTATAAAGATTGTGAGTATAATTCTTACTTAACGAAAGCCCTAAACTGTTTGATACTGCATGAATACAGAACATGACCATGATCGGTGTACTTATACAAAGAACAGTAACAGTAGAATTACCTATATTATACCTCCAATAATTTGTCCTGCGTTTCATGCAGTAGGACAAATAATTACTTCCAATTTAATACTACGGACATTCCCGGATTTAACTTACGCTATAAGACGGCCCAAAAATAGTAAACAGAAAACACCCGGACCTGTTTGTCATTTACGTGTAGACCACGGTTTACTGCGGGGAAATGGGTAAAATTACGGGTAAAATTGCTGACATCAGCAAAAATTGGTAAACAAATTGGCGATACTCGTTCCCGTAAACCGGACCGGGGTATCTTAACCTCTGTAATATTATAATTAATAACTTGTCGATTGCTCGGAAATAAAAGTAGGGAAGATATTTACAGTCTCAATATTTTTTCCTGTATAGATGGAGTGTTTCCTGGATCAAACATACTCTTTGGAGAACATGATTATGGTACATTAATAAAATCATGGATTGGGAGAACTACTACAGCGAAACTGTGTTGGCGCGCAACAAGAGATGGATGGGCAAGCAGTACATTCCACAGCAACTGTGACAACAAGAAACCAACTGTTACCCTGATTAAAGTTGGTAGTTATATTTTCGGAGGATATGCTACGGAGTCTTGGGGCGGTGAGGCTATATTACTACTTTCCATCATTTCTGGCCAACTAATGCATTAGGTTTAGAGTATATGCATGGGGATCAGTGAAGGTGTCGTGAAATTCAGATTTTTGAAATCTTGTTCCATTTTGTAAATTTGTTTCTAAAAATTGGATTGGCATCATTAATTGTCGAGCGTCCGTACATCGATAATAGAAAACGTAAACTTTAGAAATAGTAAAATGAACTAAAAATTGATTTCTTAGTACTCTCAAAAATCTTTCGTGTATGTGCAACATTGTAATTAGAAACTGTATGTACTGTTTAAAACACGAGCAGGAGTGTTTTATCAGATCTAAAACACAAGAACGCAGCTCGAGTGTTTTATATCTGATAAAGCACGGACTGCGAGTGTTTTAAATGGTTTAAAAAAAGACTCATCTGATGAGTTCATTGGCGACGTAATTTCAAAAATGAACGTTGTCTAAGCCGAGAAAATCAAAGCTATAGTAGTATAGTTTATGTAGTATTTAAAACACGAGCAGGAGTGTTTTATCAGATCTAAAACACAAGAACGCAGCTCGAGTGTTTTATATCTGATAAAGCACGGACTGCGAGTGTTTTAAATGGTTTAAAAAAAGACTCATCTGATGAGTTCATTGGCGACGTAATTTCAAAAATGAACGTTGTCTAAGCCGAGAAAATCAAAGCTATAGTAGTATAGTTTATGTAGTATTTAAAACACGAGCAGGAGTGTTTTATCAGATCTAAAACACAAGAACGCAGCTCGAGTGTTTTATATCTGATAAAGCACGGACTGCGAGTGTTTTAAATGGTTTAAAAAAAGACTCATCTGATGAGTTCATTGGCGACGTAATTTCAAAAATGAACGTTGTCTAAGCCGAGAAAATCAAAGCTATAGTAGTATAGTTTATGTAGTATTTAAAACACGAGCAGGAGTGTTTTATCAGATCTAAAACACAAGAACGCAGCTCGAGTGTTTTATATCTGATAAAGCACGGACTGCGAGTGTTTTAAATGGTTTAAAAAAAGACTCATCTGATGAGTTCATTGGCGACGTAATTTCAAAAATGAACGTTGTCTAAGCCGAGAAAATCAAAGCTATAGTAGTATAGTTTATGTAGTATTTAAAACACGAGCAGGAGTGTTTTATCAGATCTAAAACACAAGAACGCAGCTCGAGTGTTTTATATCTGATAAAGCACGGACTGCGAG